TATTAGTATATTTTGAGACTGGTGGGAGAAAGGGGAGATTCCTCGGACGTGAAGTTAGTAATACGCCAAAAGTCGCAAACAACGTTTTATTCAGTTACCGCAAGAAATATATATTCTTACCTGCCCGACGGTTATGCGCGAAATGCCTGCGGCTTTGTTGTGCAAGTTAAAAGTGAAGTTTAAAAATTCAACTTTTGGTTACAGTATCGTTACCAGTTTCATTTCAATATCCCGTATTTCGGTAGTTGTTGCGCACCTGCAAATTTTGTTACAAACAATTTCGATCCCAACAATTTTTTTAACCGTTATCAAGATTTAGTTACTTTTTTGGTACTATTAAGTGTTATTTTTTAAAGTTTCGTTATTATTTTCGGGGGCGCATGGTTCGATTCAATTTATATATTCGATCCTTACTCTCTTAAAATGAATTAGTCAAAAATAACTAATTATAAGTCATATTTGACTAATTGTCATAGCGAAAAAGCAGTCACTAATAATTAGTCAAATTCCACTGAATGAAATAGTTAAATTAGTAAATTTAAATTTAAAAACAGTTTTGACCCAGCCTGGGATTGAACTCACGTCTGTCACTTGAGAAGCTTGTCAATCTAACCTCATAACCAGTCGGCTGTCAGCCGCTCTTAAAAAAATAAATTTTATGTATCAATAAATATTGTTCATAATATTTTAAAGTTCAATATATTATTTGTGTTACTGTTTTGAGCTAAACTTTTTGCATCTTTATTTGTTTTATGGCTCATTTAACCATGGAGAGGTATATGCATTTAATTCAAATAATACTTTGTTGTTGGCCGTAAACGATTAAAGAAATTAGTTACTTTTAACTGTCAGAAATAGTCAAATATGGTGACTAATCTTAAATTAGTCAAATTTTAACTAAACATTCAATTTTCTTAGTTTCTTTAAGAAACTTTCTTGACCCATCACTGCACGGTGTGGTTTAAAAAAGTTAGATGTAAAGTTCGAGAACCCCAAAGTTATAAACAGGGAATGATTCTACATCGTTTCAATAAATAATTAATGAAAAAATTAAAATATTTCCCTGAGCGCATTTTTTTTTTCGCCTTATTTAATATAAGAACATTATTTAAGAGGTTAGATACCCTAACTACGTCAAATTTTTACGTTTTTTTTTCAAAGACTGGTTTATTTATTTTGATATAAATATTTTGACTTATTTCAAAAAGTTACGTAATCACAGGCGCCCTTTTCCTCTTTATTTTAGTGTGTCTTGAGACTCAGTACTATTAACATCAAAAGCGAGCTATTTATTAAAATTTAATAATATTTAAAAAATGAAACCAATAAATTTAAGTCATAAGCAACCACTATCACACAGTGGGTGTCGTTTAATTATGTCAATTATGTAAAACGAAGAAGAAAGTTCTTTTCGAAATAACGGATACCTTAGAAAAATTGATACTTTTGATATAATATATATATTATGTTATATTTAATTCATTTTAGACCTTTTTTTGTAATAAAAGATTTTTTTATAAAAATAGGAAACATATTTTATTTTATAAAAAGAAACAATTTTGTGTTTAAACTATATCTAAGTTTGATATATACATTATAACTAATTAAAGGTGTCTACTATTGTATTCACATACAGCTTTAAGTAATTTTTCTGCATATTGAGGATGCGATTTTTTTACTTTGTATTTATTCTATATTTTATTAAAGTCTGAGTGAGATGATTACACCACTTGTTCTGAATAAAACCTTAACCCTTTGTCGTTTTGTTTATAAAAATCTTCTATGTGGAAAAATACTGTGTGAACCTAAAGCGTTACGTTTATGTCTAAACTAACTTTCTCTAAATATCGCAATCTTTTCAAGATATCCTTCTTTTAATTTGATTGAGAAACAAAAATCAACAACGTTCTTGAATGATTCGAAATATTTTTTACATATTTCATACAAGAAAAGTTACTTGTTGGAGAGCAAATTTCACGTAGAATGTCAACATTGTTCAATAGTATTTTACTCGAATTTTGACGTCTCAAATAGTATATTATGTATCAAGTATATAAACGCCATTTTAGTTACGAGTTTTATTAAGCACAAGCGAGTGTTTAATAAAAACAAGTGTCTAGATAAGTTTATAAAACGAGTTGCATACTTTATCTACGACGACCACAAAGAAGAATTAAAATCCAATTTTATTTGTTAAACATTTGACATCTGTCAAATGTCAACGGAATTAACCTTACTTTTCTCTAATTTATAATAAAGCTAACTTCAGCCCGTGACTAAAATGCCAAAAAGCCACTATTGCTAACTTCAGCCCGTGACTAAAACGCCATAAAGTCACAGCTAGTCAATGTAGGAACAGACAAACACACTTAAGTCGAGAGAAAACAGGCGCCTGTGATTATTGTAAGTTTTTGAAATACGTCAAAACAGCTGTCAAAATATTTATTTCAAAATGAATAAACCAGTCTTTGAAACAAAAAACGTAAAAATTGCTATTTTTTGGCGTAGTGAGTGTATCTAACCCCTTAAATAATGGTCTTATATTTAATAAGGCAAAAAAAAATGCGCTCAGGGAAATTTTTTAATTTTTTCATTAATTATTTATTGAAACGATGTAGAATCATTCCCTGTTTATAACTTTGGGGTTCTCGAACTTTACATCTAACTTTTTTAAACCACACCGTGACTGGTAATATTCATAAGAATAAGAAAAAATTGAACCTACACCTCGCCAAAGATTTTTGTTTTGAATGCGTTCCACCAACTTCAAATACCGACAGACAGCTGTTTCGACCTTTATTGGGTCTCATCAGTGTCATTGTTTGACGGTGTGGATCACCTGATGTTCTTACATCTCGCCTCTGTTGACTTAACAACCGAGCATATAAGCTGAGGGAGTAATTTGTTTTGATTGTGTTCCACTACACCAAGTTGCCCGACACTGATGAGACCCAATAAAGGTCGAAACAGCTGTCTGTCGGTATTTGAAGTTGGTGGAACGCATTCAAATTTTAACTATTTACGTAGTAAAAAATAACTATTTCAAAGTAAAAACGACTATTTTATTAGTAAAAAATGCTGGTACTAATTCAAATAGTAGAATTTTGACTATTTCATTTATAGAGAGTATGTGAAGAACGATACCCGATATCGGATACCGTAACAGAAACGCGTTACAACCATGGTTATTAGTAGTGACTGTCCCAGCACGCGACGTAACATTTCAAAAATACAAAAACAACACCCCCACCAGTTCCTTTCTCTAAATGACATAAAATTTAAGGCGTGGGAGGGCCCTGTAAGGAAATTTTTTCCCGGGCCCTAAACTTTTTTAAATTTATAATATTAAAATTAAAATTAAAAAAAATCTGTTTAAGCTCAGAAATACTAACAAAGAAAGTAATATTTTTTTAGAACACCCTTTACACCCAATTTTTTACAATGCATTTAAAAACAGAAGCGAATTATTTACTCTTTCAATTTGAGGAATGTCAAAAGAGCACCAGTTAACAAACAAAGTTACTTCGCCAAAGCAAGCGCCCCGAATGACAATATAACTTCAAAGGAAAATCACAAATGCCTAGAGCTTTGCTAGCTTTGATCAACACCGTACAATCACAGCTCTCTAAATTTGCGTGAAGAATAACAACCCAATTGCGTGTAAAAACTTTGTGAATTATGTGGCACAATGCGTATGTCCAAAGCATGTATAATAAAAATACAAAAAGTTTAATACATTATATTACGATTTATACATTGTCACTTATGATATTTAGGGGAAGCCAAAAAGGTTTTATGCAAGCAAGGGGAGAGCATACGCATAACTTCAAATCGAAATTATCTTAATAAAATGATTGACAGTTTCATTCAGATACATTTGAATAGTATATATCAAATTTAATGGAAGTTGCTTCTTATCGCTATTGTAGTTAATTGAAAAGGCAATTTTAAAATGCAGTGCATTATTTTTTGTGTGGTATTATCATAAACTCTTTAAAATATTAAAACAATCTACATTTATTTTTATTTATTGGAACTAGGGATTTAAATTTTTTACAAAAATTTATTTGCCAAAAAAAAACGTATTTTAAACATATTTAAATTACTTTTGTTCGTATAATATGAAGGGGTAAGAAGCAAAAAGGTACAAGTGCAAAAAAGAGAAGTGGAGTTATTTATTAAAGTTTTAATATTGTTGTTTGCAATTTTCACGTTTGCTTCTGACCCCTTTATATATTAACATATTTTTAAGTTTCCTGTTTTAATTCGAATTTTTTTCTGTTTTTCCTTGTGTCCATTTTTCTATTTTAACAATGATCTAAAAACGTTTTTTTTTTAATTGATTCTGTTTTTTTTTAATGTAATTAGAACACAGGCCGATCAAATTTTAAACTAAAAATTAGACATGACATAAACATATAGTGAAAAACGCAACAAAATAACAAGAAAGAAGAATGTATAAACTATATAACAAATACAATATATTCATGGGGATAACAATTTGTGTTTTAAGATAATAGATTTAGTTAACAATTTTCTAAACGTTTTCAAATTATCACGATATTTAATTTTTAAATTATTAGTAGATTAATAATTATGAAAAAACTCATTATTCCATTATTCATCAGCTTACAACGATATAAACGTTCGGTGTAAAAAATCAATACGAAATAAGCAAAAGGCAATTGTGATAAATTTGAAAAGCTAAATAAAAAAGAACCACCGAGGCGTGCCTTAACAGCGATAGCAGGACAGAGAATCGGAAAAGGACATTCGCTCCGGGAGTCCGGGAAGGAAAGACTCTTTCCTTTTCCGGGAATCCAATCAGACTTTTTAAGAATAATTGATAACAACTACATACCACCCAGATATCATCTTGTAAATATTTCCTTGGCCTTTTTTGTTTCTGAACAGTGCATTAAATATATTTATAGTATATTTATTTATACAGCCTATTTAGTTTATAAAAATAAGGTTATTAATGCTCAATTTATTTTTAGGTTATGGATCAAACTCATTATCAGGCATGACCAAATCATTGGACCCTCATGGACATCTTCGACAACCAGGTAATTATTGACTCTAATTAAATGTACAATGTTAAAAACTGTCAACAATTCTTTAATAATTTGCCGAGTCATATAGGTATAGTGCCAATAGCTTTTTAACATAAATATTCCATAAAAAATCCCTTGTGATTAAAAAATTCATCTATTTTTTTTAATCCTACCTAAAAAACTATAATTCAAGACACCAAGGTTTAACGGATTAGTTAAATAAAATTATACATAGGTACAAATATGAAATATGTGCTTTTATTAAATGATTAAATAAAATAGCTTTGGGATAAAATTTGAAGGGTGATTTTTCGCAAATCAATGTTAAATTTGGGACTGTTTACTTAACAAAGTCATGCATTACGGCTAGTAGGCCTGTGCAAACAAAAGGGATGTGCGAGTAAATAACGAAGGTCATTCCGCAAATAATAAGAACCTTTCGATTTAGCCATACGTGAACATTTCGTTGATGTTTATTAAGAAAAAGTGTCACCTAATAGAAATAAGAAATCTAATGTTGTCATTCATTAATTTTAAAAATCAACCCCGGTCAAAAGCAGATAAAACCATTTTCAGAGAATTTTTCAGGACCGTTAGGCCCGGCCCGGCCCGATTTTATTTTATCGAGACCGAGAGCACCGGATGTGGATGTATTTTAGATTTTTTATGATTTGAAATTTAGTTATCCATGTATAAATCTGTACAATATGGACAATTTTTTCGTTCGCTGTCAAAATGACAAAACTAGTAATCCGAAAGTAAGGTTAGTTGTCCATAAAGGATGTTTAGTTTTTGATGGGTTGATAGTCATTCAAAACTCCGTGTCCGCCACTGTACACAAACTGTAAAAATAATAAAAGTGAGAAAAAAACGAACGAAAAGTAAATATAATTTTTATATGTAAATACTTTTGCGGTAAAACTTTTGCCTAAGCATAAGATGTAGATGTATTTTTGATTTTCAGTACTAAAATCTTACAACCAGAAACTATGAAAGATTGATCCGAACGCCTTATCAGCAGGGCCGGGTTTAGAAAAAACGATTCTGCCCGGTCCGGTCCGTGCAGGGTTTTAATGTAATGCACTTTTTCTACTTCTATTAGGGAATATGACCGTTCTAACATCACTCTTTAATGCGAAATTACATATATTTCCTAAATTGATACAGAATGAATTATTATATTATCAGATGACGGAATAAACACTGGGGGCGCCATCTCTGTGTTTATTCTTACAACTTTTAGACCAACCCCTCCCAATTAAATTATTTTTCTGTGTTATTTTTTGAAAAGGTAGAAAAAGTAGGTATATTTGGAATTGCATATTCCGCTATCGTAAAACCGCCAAACTCGCCTTCGGCTCGTGTGACGGATTATGCCGTATTCCAAACTTGTTCCAGAATATACTATTATTTTTCAAGCATTTAATAAATTTTCTATTACACTCGTAAGTCTACATAGAAGGACTATATTAATACTAGTTCAAAAGTCAAATTATTATAAACCTCAGTACAAAAATAAATGTCAGTTGAACCTAACCTAAAAATGATGTGACAAAATCTTAAAAAATATTTTAATTAAATGCTTAAAAAGTCCCTTTAAAAAACACGGCAGCGGAAGCCTATTAGTTGCCTTAAACATAATCTACTGCCTCGGCTAGCGCCTCGGCAGTGAAATGTATACTTATTTGTTAAACGATACCTAAAACAAACTTATGTTTGTACTTTTAAAAATTATTAACGTGTCAGATCTAAAAACTCGACTACTACAAATTTTTTGATTTAAATCATTTTAAGATAATAATAAGTATTTGTCGTAGAAAAAGTATAGTATGCACCTCGTTTATAAACTTTTCTATACACTCATTAATTTAAGCACTCGCTCGCAAGCTCGCTCGTGCCTAAATTAAATTCGTGTATAAAATGGCGTTTATCAAACTTGATACATAATATACTATTATTTCCTCCTTCATTGTAAATGACATTTTATAGGTTAATTTTATTTTTTTTGTATTCAAGAAAACGATACATTATGAGAACAGACCTGTAATATTTTACGGGAATGTATAAAAGAACTGTAAAATTTTACAGGCTTGTAGAAAAGCAATTTATGAAATGAAATGACACATTTGACACATCAATTGAAATTTTAAAATTGAAAATCGTTATCTAAAGGTAAAAATAAAAGTTTGTACGTGTCACACTTTGCAATTAATCTTTACTAGGCTCACTGGATTATGGGGTTTGCTCCTGCGTCGCTCACCCCACAAACTTCCAGCTCGCCCGTAAAGATTCATTTACAAAGTTTAACACGTAAATAATTATTACAGCCTATAGGCAATAATCAATCACTTTAGTAGTGAGTGTTGACAATAATAAAGCTCTAATTATGAAGAGAAAAGCTTTAATTCTAATTTTATTTTATTTATTGTATGTTTATTAGCAAGGGCGAATCCAGAAATTTTGTTTGGGGGTTACGTACCTTTAATAAATAAATATTAAGTATTATTTAAACCGTTAAAATTAAATGATTTAATAATGTTTGGATTGTATTGAAAGTTGTTTTTATTTATTTTTATTAATACATTGGTTTTGTTTAAGTATTAGGATAATTAAAATACATGTTTGTAAATCCATCAAAGCATGTTTAAGATATTTTGGCCCTTTAAAGAATTTTTTTCTGATTTTGTGTTTTTAAAGAACTTGTGGAATTCCAACTACTTTTTTATGGTTTATGAACCCTTTTAATAATAATGGACTCCTTTAAAGCAATTTGATTCTAAAGTTCTTTTCATAATATGAACAGAGGACTTTTTCAATGAGATTAAAAAATGTGCTTAACAATGATTATTAATAATCATTGTTAAGCACATTATATTAGACATATATTCTTATGGATAAATGGATAATTATATTTAAACTGTCAATTTTTCATAAATTCCCTTAAAATGTTATTATGTTTATTTATTTTATCTTATAATTAATAGTATATTATGTATTAAGTTTGATAAACGCCATTTTATACACGAATTTAATTTAGGCACGAGCGAGCTTGCGAGCGAGTGCTTAAGTTATTGAGTGTATAGAAAAGTTTATAAACGAGGTGCATACTATACTTTTTCTACGACAAATACTTATTATTATCGTAAAATGATTTAAATCAAAAATTTGTGTAGAGCGCCATCTATGAAACAACAGGGGAAACTGTCAAATGTCACATTTTACATTTTATAAACACAATTATTAAGGTTATAAAATCGAAATGTATCTTAAAAATTGACAGTTTTTCACAGTGAAAGTAAAGGAAATGTTTTATGAGGACTTTACAGTAGAGTCCGTGCCCGAATTTAAGTTTACTGCCGGCGAAATTCAAAGGTCAGTACAATGTTCATATAAACTTTTCAAATATTGGCGTTGAGAAACTATTTAATATTTTTGAATTTTTGTATTGAGATAATAAAATAATTTTCACATTTAGTATTATTTTTCAAGAAAGGCACTTTATTTTAACTATTGTATGACATTTGACAACTGCCAACTAACTTAAAACTAACTTCAGCCCGTGACTAAAAACCTGTTGCTAACTTCAGCCCGTGACTAAAGGGCCGTAAAGCCACAACTTGTCAATGTGTATTTAAAAGGTCACTTAGTGTCATGGAAACATGTACGATAAGGGGCGTTTTAAAGGTGGGAGTAGAAAAAAGGTATTTATTTACTCCAATTGCATAATATTGGGTTTTTCAGTATATAATGGTAAACATTATAAATTCCCTGCCTAACAACGGGAATAATGAACTCATTATTCACGTTATTATGCATAAGTGATTGGGATTTAAATTGGGAGAAGGCTACGACTATAATAAAATTTAAAATTGGTCAAAAAGTGAGTTTAACCATTTGACAGATGTCAGATTTTATTTATCTATGTTTTTAAATCATTTAATTATCTACTGATTGGAGAAGATAAAGTATAGTAATATACTCGAGATTATGGGCATTATACACTAGGAGTATTTGAGTCTCTCGTTTGGCCACTCGAGACGCAAACCTCATCCTCGTAAATAATAGCCTGCATTATATCTCGTATAATAATCTACTATCTGTGAATATCGAATGTAAAACTATCTTTTCTACTCCAATAAGTAGATAATTAAATAATTTTCAAAAATAAATAAATGGAAATTTATAATCATTAGGTATTCACGAAAAAAAATTATTATGCAATAGAAGTAGATAAATACTTTTTTATTCCCATTATAAATTAGACAATATTTTCTCGTTGCAGGAATTTTACAAATAACATAATAAAAGCAATTCAATGCCTTTTTATTTGACTTTATTAATTAAGAATCTGTATTGTTGCCGGCAATGAAATTGTCTTGTTCTTTTGTAATTGTAACTGTCGGCAAATGGAGGCCCCGGGGACTGTTAGGCCATACTGGGGTGAATTCCCTTGTTGCTAATAAGTCTTCGATCAAAGCAAAGATTCAATAATTACCTGATTATGGGCCCCGAGCAGCCACCGTTGATTCAATGATTGTCCCATTACCCCAAACATTGCTCCCTTGTGTTTGTTAATCTACGATTATTGCAGAGTAGAGATCGACACAATAAATTTCCCATGTCATTTGCTGTCCAAACAATTTATTTTAAATTATTATCTTTTTGTATTTCAAAGTTTAATAAAACTGATTTATTATTTTCTAATGTTTATTTTGTAGTATTTATAGTAATACCTTTAGTAATATAGCCTAGGCAGCCGGCCATCAGCCTTTTACATTTTTCAATTATGAAATTTACTCGAAAGCAATAGAAAATATTACATTACATTTTATAATAAAAAAAAATGTTTATTTAAAACGTCAATAAAATGACGCTTTTGTAATGTTTAGAAGAATGTTTAAGTTTTACTTCATTGCCATGGCATTAAATTAGTACTTTTTCTGCTGACGCTGACGAGCTCAAAGATAATAACCAAAAGTGCTTTTAAATTAATTTAATAAAAGTTCCAATTT